CCAATCATGGGATGAGAGATTGTTGTTTATAAGATCATAGTTGCCCTTTTTGAAGTTATAATTGGGGATTCCGTTGTGATGATTTTTGTGTGGACGTATGTTGAGACAAAAGTCAATCATGTTGTGGTCACTGTTGGAAAAGGGTTCTTTGATTTGTATTCTGTAAATTGAATTCAAACTATTGCAGAAGATGAGATCGAGGCAGTTATTAAGTCTAGTATTGTTGCTTACTCGTTTTTCTAGTCCCAAATTTTTTACAGCATTGTAGAAGGTTGCATGTGTGGGTTCAGTTGTACATTCGTTAAGGGTCCAGTTAATATGAGGTAGGTTGAAGTCACCAAGAAAGATAAAAGCATATGGACAGGATGCTGCCCATGTTAGTAATGTATTTAGCTTGTTTGCACGTTCGATGTCATAATCGGAGGCTCTGTAACATAGTAAGAACCGAAATGTGATATTTAAGGACAGTTTACAGATGATGGTCTCAGGAATAACTTCACTTGGCTCCAAATAAGAGCTCCCCCAATGCTTATAGGCAGTTCGCTATAAAAATTTCTGGAGCATTAATAGCTGTAGGGCTTAGTCACATTTCTCAATGAAATTCTGCTTTCTTCTTCCTCAGATGCAGAGAATATTGCATGGTATTTATAGAGAGTATAGAATGTATAGAGAATATATATAGAATATAGAATGTACATTCCATTGCCTGAATGGTGACTTTTTAAACAGAAAATTTAACTTCTATCCATCCCATTATATCTATGGCATTTCACAGATTATTGGAATATTGTATCCCTTTAATAAGTGCAGAATGCAAGATCATCTACAAGATTTGGCTTGTCTTGGGAACAGGAAGAAGGTGGAGCCTCCTCGCTGACAGACCATAGATCGCATCTCTCTGCGGCTATGGTCCGTGCTCTTTCGTTGGAGAGCCCGAATCATTATGACTAGGGGCTGAAGCTGCCTTGGAGGGGCGGTGGAGTAAGGGGAAGCCGCAAGCCAGGTTGAGGGGAGCTGCATCTCCCCTCCTGGGCTTGGTCTTTTTCCCCCTGAAGACGACTGCAGCAGTGGTTTAAAATGGCCACCCCAAAAAGGAGGACTCAGCTGGATTAAGATTTCTGCAGGAGGGAAGAAAGAGGTGGATAACATCTGAACCGGGACAATTGGGTGATGCAACTAAACAAAAGTACCCAGGGATTAAGGTAACATGGAATTTTTAAGAAAAGAAAAGTGAGCAGCAAAATTACAAAGGGACAGGAAAAAAATAAGAAAATATTTCTGATAGCTAAGCAGGGCTTTGAACCAGGAAAGGAAGAAGCCGGAACTAAAGATTTAACTAAATTGGACTAAAATGTTTTGGCAATAAACAGGCATGAAATAAAGCTGGACTTAAGATTGTCAAAAAATAATAATAATAAAGTTTACAAATTGGAGACTGGACTGGGTTGGAATATTGAGGTTCGAAAAACCCTAAATAAAAAAATAGGGGAAAAGGGTGAACACTTTGTATAATGGAGAGTGCCACCTTTTGACAAAAACTTGAGCTCAAACAAGGGAAAGCATCCTGTTTCTGAATGAACTTGTGTGGATATAATATTAAAGAAATATTGAAACAAAGTAAGAATCTTAGAAAGTGAAAGCAGAACTAGAATAAAGAAAAAAGCAAGGAAAGACTGACTGTGGGATTGATGGATGTTTTTGGTATAGACCCTCGGCTGGAACAATTGAGAACTTTAGAAAATTGAAAGAAGAAAGAAGGAAAGTAAAAGTGGTTTTTTTGTGGACTTTACCGATCATAAAATACAAGAGTGTGTAATGATGATATCTCTTCGGGAATTAAAAATGGAACTTAAAAATATGAGAGAATTACTACAGGAAAGAGGCGAATCACTTTGTTCTGTGTTAGAAAAAATGGAAATGGCAATTGAAGAACAAGAAGAAAGAGCTTCAGAGGAGGAGGAGTCGATTCAAGGAGAAGACATTTTAAATAGACAATTAACACAAAGAATACTACAAAGAAGTGGGGAAAGAAGGAAGGTTAAAAAGTTGAGACTTAAGAAGGCAATCATAAGGGGGAATACCTGTGAAGTCAGGAAAGGCAGAAAGACCCAGCAGAAAAGGGGAAAGGAAGATATTAAGAAAGAGAGGGATATAAACTGGAATGAGAAAAGATATGGGGAAAAGAGGAGAAGCAGTAAGAAACAGGCGCATGAAATAAAGAAATACAGAAATAGTAAAATGTTGAAAAGAAATTGTTTTTTCAGAGATAATGGTTGATGAATTAAAAAGGGGATTCTGCAGGGTGACAAGGGGTAATAAGAATATTTCTGCAATTAAAAATATTTAGAAAATAGGGTAATATAGATATTGATAACTCTTATTAAAAATTAAGGGGGAAATATGCTGCGGAATTCAAATGAAAAGATGTAATGATTATTATTGTAACTTCTTAAAAATAATGGTTTATTGGGAATCAAGATGAGAGAATAAAGGTATATTTTAACCACTGAGTAAAAGGGGGGAAACCTATACTTGTTTTTTTCTTTAGTGTTAAAACTTGTATTAATTTAGAATTTATAAAAAAAATGTGTAATGGAAAGGGAATATGACAGACTAAAGACCCAACTAAATTAATAAGTCAATATAGACTATTAAAAGCAAGGAGAGATATTGGAAACCTATTATTATTATTATTATTATTATTATTATTATTATTATTATTATTATTATTATTAT